CGGATACATTAATGTTAATCCCCAGATAGTATAGGATCGTCCATAGTAGGAGCCAAAAGACTTCCCGGCAAAGTTAAACCTTAAGCACCACTAACTACCAATAAGCCAACGACCTTCAACGAACCAATCACATGAAAGAGGGATTTTCGACTATAGAAAACGTATATTTGTGAAGAAAAAACAACATAAAAACTGCATAAAACTCTTACATAGGGTATCCTTCTCTTACGTGTGACAAAAACATCGCGCAGTTTAGCATAGAAAGCTACACCACATTCTGTACATATATTCATCTAAATGGCTATAAATGACATACTTTTGAGATCCATTTGTAGCCCTAATACTATTTTTTAATCTTCCCCAAAATCCTTTTATAGAATTCGTGTGTGTCACTGTGATGGGATCCACAATATCGCCAGAATGGTTCAATCTGTGATGAATATATATCCAAGGGATGACAGCGAGTTATAAACTTTCCATTCATCAGTATTTGCCATAGATCCTTGTTTTACCAGTCGAGTGACGATAGGTACTAAGGTAATAGACTTTCTGTCTGCTATTTTCTCCACGAATCTTTTCTGCAGAGAGGTTTCATATAAACCTACCACCCAAACATTTTTGGCTCGCTCACGAACATGATTGTATTTTTTCCTCGAAAGGAAAGTCTCGTCCACGTGTACGACGACACCTTCTCCGCCTAACAACAAAGTAGTTCTCTCCGTTTTCTATTGGGTGATGTCTCTGCAGTGCTGGTACCACTGTACTGTTTAAACAAGGCTTTTTCCAGTTTCAGCAGTTAAGCCTCTCACAGGATGTTTTAAAACCCATTAATTACAAATATACAAACCTGGTTTGGAGCTAGATGCGACCTAGCAAAAAATGTGCCTACGAAATATCAAAATCATCAGCTTACCTTCCCTAATAGTAACTTGTCTCAAGCAAATTGCACAGTGATGAACATCCACCACCAATCGACCTGCTTAATTCTTTTAAACTCCACATGAACAAATCCTCTCCTTCTTAAGCAACCCCAAATCCATGCAATACTGCAAAACCTTATCCTCATTGGAATGAAAACGTAACTTTGTAAGAGCAAGTATCTGACACGAATCGTGTCAGCGCTATACGACCTTGAAATCGCGTTGGTGAACCTGATTGGACTATTTTAGGTCATTCACTGATTGGTAGTTTGTGGTGCTTAAAGTTTAACTTGGCCAACTTTCTTTTTCTTTTTAATCTGTGCAGTTTTATGCTTAACAAAAGATTTTTTATCACAGATTAATCGTTATGACTAACAATATCTTGAGATTTCAATAGGGAGGTGGATTTGGTCACTCGCATTGACCGTGAATAATCCTGTTGGACTACTACTACAACAACATTATACGACAGCTACCTGTTTCCTCACTTCGCACTACGTGAACGAGAACACACAACAACGTGAACCGCAAAGTATACTCTATATGCAATAGTGTGTGATTCAAAATATCACCAAAAATATGTCAATTAGCCTGTAACCATGATCAGTGAAATAATGGGTGTTATTTTATGTGGGTCAAATTCTGATTGATTTATTTTCAGATTGAACATCGACCACCATATCATTAATATTATTCGAAATAAAAACTTTTATCACTTTTAGCAATGAGATGCATACAACACTTTTTATAGATAAGTAAAGAACCTTGGATATTGATTGAAAAAATGTTTCTTTAAAGTAAATCAATCAATCTATTATTTCTTCGGTCTCCTATTGGAACATAGGGCTTCAGAAAGCACATCGTTACTTCATTCTGCCTTTTTTTTGTAGTCTTTCCTAGCTGGCTACATGATAGCCTACAAGTTTTCATTTCCTCTTCACACGATCTACTCCCATGGAAGCCTAAAAATCGAATTCAAGAAAACAACAGTAACCACCTTTTTTCATATGACTGTTTTGTTTAACTGTAATGCATTATTGCATGAATAAAATTACATTGGCCGTTGCTCTAGGAACTTGATTTTCCGTGCTTGGGAACATCTACTTGTGTAGTTAAATAAAGGTGTATTTAAAAGCATCAATAACCCCGTATTATAACACTTGGTTCGAAAACTGGCCACAAAGACAATTGTCAATGTTGGTGAACATTGAATAGTTTATTTATTCGGGTGACAAGAAGGCTGTCACTGCTTAATCGTGTACTAGTTGGCAAAAGATTGGAGAAATACGATCAGAAGTATTGTTGTATATTATATCAACTTTTATTTACAAACTTTAGCACCGCTTAACTATTGTAAATCTGTTTCTTTTTCGCTTGAAGAATAAATAATCGTGTTGCCCAACCGTTTTCTGTTATTCCGCATCGGTTACATTGCATAGTGTACTGAGTATTAGGCTTCATTTTCTGAAACCAGAGATAGGTCCAGGATCTCAGCGATCTTGATATTTGACACCAATATTGAAGAGTTCTTTTCCATCACCTATCGAGTATCAAACAAATTGCTAAAATCATCTAAGTACCGCATTCTCCAAACATCAGAGGCTATCGCGATTCGCCTGAGACAATCGGTACTGTGTGTGCAGAAGAAACAGGTCAAACTACTGTTACTGCCCTGTTGTGGAGTTAACAAATTCATAAATACCTTGTTACATCGCCCTGTATATGCAAATTCCTCTACCCTTTGTAATTACACTTGCATTAACTAACTTTTTGTTTTCTTATTTAAGTGTAGTGGTTGACTAACAAAAACATGGCACCAGTCAATGAAATCCACAACAGTTAGTCTAACCTACGTAGGAAGGTGTAGACTTCCTAGTTGTGGTCCCCGGGACGGTAAAAACCAATGGTTGGAGACTATTGGTGACATGGCTCAAAATCGTTCTCAATGCATAGCGCAGATACATCCACTCCTTGTGACTTATGATTTCCAATGAAACTGTTTTGTTCTTCGCTTCTACTATTTTGTCTCACATCTCTGTTTACTGTCTCTATTATGCATTTCTTCTACTTTCTCCTCTTGCTTTGTGTGCTACATGGAGGGAGTGTGGTGACTTGAACTCCCGCACATCGGTGCAAAGTTCTATGTCGAAAACAGACAGACAGTAGTGGTTGACTTCCACACTGACACACATACAACGCACATAAAATTCAACTCTAAAAATCTTTTTCTCTACCCCGTCTTTGACATAACACTCATCCATCTAAAGTCTATAATCAATATGAACATAACTCATAAGGATTTTTTTTATTCCTTTACGTTCTCAGTGGAACACAGGGATTCAGGCTAAACGCTTGAAGTTTCAATGTAAGTGGTGTTTAGTTTTACTGGATGGGGTTGCTATAGCCTCATGCCCAACCTTCCATCTTTACCAATCTTATATTACTTGCTTAGCAAGGTAAAGTAAAGTGCATCGCAAGGGGATCGAACCCCGAATCATACACGTGGTTGACCAGGTATTCTACCACTGTGCCACACCACCAACGTAACATGAGAATTTATTACTGTGCATTCGTTGTCACTCATAATCATCTACTTTGGTGTACTAATGGTGTTCAATTTAGTATTACAATTTTACATATTACAACATACACACATCTTTTTTGGGCTATAATCTATTAACAATCTAATTGCAAATAACTTTTGGAATTCTGATCTAAATGATTCACCACTAATGTTGTCAATAACAATCATTCTTTCACTACTGTGAATGGGGATATGTAACTTTAGAACCTGATGATAAAGTTATTGAAAAGAATATTCTTTGTCCAATAATCAATCTTATGAATAAAATTGCTTAATATTAGTTTTTAAAGATTCTACTCACATAAAACATAATATCAAACAGAAATTAGAACTAGACATATAAGCGAACAATATTGCTGCTTTCAATTAGATCTTCTTCAGGCTTTACTCTAATTTACATAGACTTATATATATAAAATTTTAACCAATGAAGGCGATTTTGTGGATCTAATAATAATAATGTGGTAAATGTTTTGAACGAAGTTAATAACGATGATTATAATGATAACAAAATATTGATAATAAGGCTTATACATGTGATAAGAATAACAAAGTTAGTATATGCATATATGTATATGGGTTATCTTAGTAGATTTGTTAGGAGACACATGAATGCCAAGTACAATAAAGAATACCGACAACAGTTAAATAAAAACAACTGTTCATGAAACTGGAATTTAATGGGGACGTGGCTAGTGAAGTCTTACATCAGAGATTATCGAGAGCGATAAAACGGACTTATACTGCCACCACCCTCTGTTTGTCATTTTACAGCCGACCAATTTTGATTGCTTAAGTGAAAGATAAGCTACCCAGTTGTGTCACTTCCATGTGTATCTATAAATTTAGTTGCTCCTGTGGAGAAAGCTATATAGGCCGGACAACTAGACAGCTTAACAAACGCATTAATGAGCATCTTCCTTCATGGTTCGGAAAATGTCAAATAAAATCCATACGAAGTTCTATTTTGGCTCATTTGATTGATAGTGGTCACGAAGTGGACAAAAATAGTGCTTTCAAAGTTATTTACCGCATTCCATCGAGTCTTTCGAACGGAATCAGAACCCGTCTTTTACACTTAGCCGAAGCTATGGGAATTCGAGAGGACAATCCTGGTCTTTGTATACAAAAGAAATTTGTTCTACCTTTGTCTCTCCCTTGGCCTAGGTGAATTCTATTCAAAACCCTCCCACCCTTTCTTATCATCCCTCTCCTTCGTACTTTTATGATATTTATTTAAACTCTGATTATCGTTCCATTTGATTTGACCTAATTTATTTATTTATTAAATTGTCTACATATATGCATATCTATAGTTTTTGGTTTGTAAGGATTAGTTATGTTTTACGAGTTGATCACGGATTGATATCAGTTAGAGAACCATTGAAAACCAGGGAGTACTGGACAGCTGCTGTTTCATCCTAGTTTTGGGAATCATCGGCAGTACGCACCCACTGGGATTCGAACCCAGTACTCCCTGGTTTTCAATGGTTCTCTAATTGATATCAATCCGTGATCAACTCGTAAAAACATAACTAACCCTTACAAACCAAAGTATAGAAAATTTACTACATTATTATTATTTGATCCACAAAATCACCTTCATTGGTTAAAGTTTTATATATATACGTCTATTTAAATTAGAGTAAAGCCTGAAGATCTAATTGAAAGCAGCAATATTGTTTGCTTATATGTCTTGTTCTAATATTATAAATGGGAATATTTAAAGATTTGAAATCACGTGTGGATCCCAGTGCATTAAAGGCACTCAATGAGTACTTGGAGTATAATGCCAGAAATTAAAACTATTTAAGAAGTCTAAATCTCAGGGATATTAAAGAAGTCATCAAAAGTCAACAGGTTATTATTTCTGTAATAGATACTAATATTGTTAAGATCCTAGTTTTCTTTTTATTAAAAAAAAGTATGCTTAAAAACAATCAAGAATTATTCAATTTTACAGTGTGTTCATCAGTCAACTGGAATATGATTAAGACTAAGATCAATAGATATTAATAAATTAAATATCACATTACAGGTGGATAGATAGACACACAGATAGGCCTGCAGATAGATAGACAAACAGACAGACAGAGGGCAAAATCAACTCGACGAACACAGTAACAACAAAATACAAAACAAAAAGACGAAAAACCAAGCAAAAAGGCCATTACAATATTTTCACAGGAAATGTTTCACTTGGCAATGCTCGAGTTGAAAAACTCTTAAAATATTCTACTGCATATTTAACTACTTCATCTGGTTTATGAAGTAGTAAAGATTTAATGAAATCAGAAATCATATCACGTATCTCTGGATGATCACGTAAATATAACAAATATTGAGCTTTAATTTCACCCTATAATAATAATAATAATAATAATAATAATAATAATAATAATAATAAATTGTAATAGTAGAGAGGAAAATCTGAGCAGGAGAAATATATTGAAATTTAATATATGTGTAAAACTTGGGCACTGTGTTAGTAAGTAATTTCATATTAGTTAGTTTATTAGATGTATCACACAGTGATGAAACAGTGTTATTTACTGGATAACACAGTTTCGAACAAAATCTATTGTTCATAATCATCATTTCATTAATTATAATCACACGACTTTGAAACTTGAGTTTTATAGTTTTCTTTGTTTTCTCCTATTTGTCGTCGTTGGGTTAGTAGAATTTTCCAGATATCTGGGACAGATGTTGAATCATTCCTATTACATGTATTTGCAGTTGATTCGATAGACAAAGCTTCTGTTATCAATCTCTCCCTCCAGGCAGCTGTGACATTAGATTTTAAAACTGTTGTCCTATCCCAGCCATCCTATTGTATGGTTGTGTAATTGCATGTAGTGTGTGCTATAGCTGAACTGTTCTCTAGATTTCTTATCTTATTCGGGTCAACCAATCTAAATTTAGTTAGGTTTTTATGTTCGGCTAGTGTGACTGCCCCTGTTCTACTAGTTTGACCTATGTATTTAACCTGAAAATCATTGCAGACAGGGTATTAGATAAACTAAATTGTTTTGTTTTAAAGGCTCCACAGGATCCTTTATCGAATCAACTGCAAACACATGTAATAGGAATGATTCAACATCTGTCCCAGATATCTGGAAAATTCTACTAACCCAACGACGACAAATAGGAGAAAACAAAGAAAACTATAAAACTCAAGTTTCAAAGTCGTGTGATTAGAATTGATATGATTATGAACAATAAATTCTGTTCGAAACGTCATCCAGTAAATAATACTGTTTCATCACTGTGTGATACATTTAATAAACAAACTAATATGGTATATTGAAATTCACTTTACCAGTTTTGAAATGTAAACTGACCGGTTAAAATCTATGTTAAAAAAAAAATAAAAATTTGTAAAAACTATTATGTACCCAACAAATAATATTCTATTCTTTTCCTTTAGGCTTATACACTACTGTAGTCTAGCCATTAGCAATGTTCTTTTTAAATCAAAATATTGCTGAACTATTGATTTAAGATTTATTAAAGCCGACTTTCTTTTAAAAAATTTTTTGATCTATAAGTTAAAAGTTAGAGTGAGTGTATAATTTCTAGCAAAACAAACTTGCCGCCACGCTTTCGATTTAGTTTACTTCACTGGATAGAACCCAGGCGATCAACTGCCATTTGCATTCTCTAAGGTGATTTCGCATCACGTGTTTGGAGGGGTATTTCAAATTTGACTGTTTTAAAGGTGTTTTATTATCGACGGTTTTACGCAGCTGGAATGAATATCTGTTGTGGCGTTTGCCATGCTATGCACAAAAGCAGCCACCCAGCAGCTTTTATTCTCACCTGTTAGTATTCAGGAGGAATAATTTTAACAATTCGTGTAAGTCAAATTTCCACCACTCTAATAAAGTGACTTAGATCAACAGACTGAAAGTTGGTAAATGCTTACTTTTATCTCATGAAAGTCCTCTCCAATACTCTAACGTTTCAAGAAGATAAATAGGACGGTTAGGAGTAAGTAAAATCATCTATACAAAAAAAATACAATTATATAGTTGCATAATAAATGTCACACTGCTGCTCATAGACTCAAAATCTAATTAAATTTGTGAAGTAAATGAATTGTTCTTTTTTTATACGCAAAAGCTATGCTCTTCCTGACATATATTTTAATGTTGAATCAGTCTCTGCCAGCCTGCATCAGTGAAACATTTCAACTGTTTGTTTAAGTCATTTCATCACTTTGCATAAGATTCTGAATACATGACTGATAGAGAAAAATGTCGCTGCTTAACAAGGTTATATATACATATAATATAGTATAAATGTTTGCCGCTCACATCACTTACTTTTCGATCAAGAAAACGTGAGTATAATTCTAAATCATCTTCCCAATTTAAACTGATTTGTGGAATGATTGGTTTAGGCAAATATTCTTCTACAATAGAAACAGGATTTATGTAAATTAAAAAAAAAACGAATACAAAACAAACCTTTTTTAAAGAGTTCAGGTATTGTATTCGCCTTTACGATGATTGGAGATCCAACTTGTACTCTTAATATCAAATGTCTGTAAAATATATATACATGAATGATTTATATTTTGTTATTTGTGTATCACAGTTTTTCTTTCTTCATAAAACAGTATAATTACGAAAAATTATATCATTTAAAAAATATGACAATCATATGGACAGTTTTTAACAAAATTAACTGAAGAAACTGTCTTTATCATACTGGAAAATTATATCAAAATCACTTGCGGTAAATAAGCATAGAAAATCTGATTAATACATAACTAAATTTTGAAAATTCTCTGTAGTATGCACCTACTGCGGTTCGAACCCAGAACCTTCCAGTTACAAGGCAAGCTCGTATACCATTCAGCTACTGGGACCCAATTCAATGGCCCATGAATTCTAACTACTACCAATTCGTGATTCAGTGCGACCACCAACTAACCAATATCATTGGTGGGACATTCACCTTCACACTTGATTGGATGGAGCTGGCTGGTCATGATTTCTCACTAGAACTCCAGGAAACTCCGTCCTGTAGCAAGCTACTAGGGAGCATGAGATTAATTTTCAACAGTTGATTTGTAAGGATTAGGTTTGTTTCTCGAGTTTGACCACGGATTGATATCAGTTAGTGAGCCATTGAAAACCATGCACTACTGGACAGCTGCTGTTTCATCCTAGTTTGGGAATCATCGGCAGTATGCACCCACTGGGGTACGAGCGCAGGACCTTTCGGTTACAAGAGTTCTTTAACTGATACTAATCCATGGTCAAAATCGTAAAAACAAACCTAATCCTTACAAAACAACTCTTGAACATAACTACAGAGCCTTATCCTGGATCTTTGGTTTCAGTAACAAAGACAGTCGACCAAATCTTTTTAAAAGCCATGATGACACAAACTGGTTATAAAAATGTTTTCGAGACAGAGAGAGAGAGAGCATTATTACTTCTTAACTCCATATGTTAATGTCAATTTCTTTATACTAGTCTTTCTCATTTAGTTAACGTGAATGGACTTTTAATTCGTTGATCATGTTACAACTGAAGTGAAATGCTTATACAATAAATGTACACATAAAATAAGAAAATAAATATGACAGCGGTTGATTCACTTATAAACAGTATTTAAAAAATTGACGTAAAAAGTTATACAAACAAGTTGATTTATAATTAAGATTTTCTGGAATACTCTTATTACTGAAGTCAAATATTAATAACTGGTATTTAATGACTACTTATGTCTGTAAATAATTTTCGAATTTTTATTACATGACTAACAAGATGTATTGATGTGGTTATACTGGCGTAGAGCATATAAGTGTATGAATTAAAGAGGTGTGGATATGAATAACGTATTTGCATTCTACTGAAATTCATAGAACAAAAGTAACCAATTATAACTATCTAGCACTTATTTCACTTGATTTTTTCAACCAGTTGGTTTCACCATTGCAAGAACATTAACCAACCAAGAGCCGAAAGTGGAGATGGATCGGGCATATGTTGAGGAGGCCATCAAATGACATGGCACACAATGTAAGCCATCACTCGAGTAGAATCCCAAGGAGGAACGATGAGTGGGTCGTCAAAGCGAGGGTGACATGGAGGAGATAGTCCAGGGAGGAGGAGGTGAGAGATTATGGGAAATCGTATGGTCAGCCAGCTGGAGAGAAGAGCAGAGAATAGAAGAAAGTGGAGATGTGTTGTTGAAGCCCTATGTTCCACTAGGAAATCAGGGGAATAATAATAATAAGAAGAACATCAGCCAGTAGTCATGTACTTTTGCATATCATTAGCATCAATCACCAATGTCTGGATTAAACAAAATCTTGCTGTACGATAGTTCTGTTTTTTTAATGTAACTGACATGATAGGTATAAAACTATACATACTATAATTCATAATAAAATCTCACAAGACCACAGAATGAAAGAGCATCCTTATAAGCGAGGTGACTTTAGAAACTAAAAAGCAAAATACCAAGCAACATTTCTTCACTCAAACAAAATAAATATTCACAACCAATGTTATAACTTGTAGTATAGTGAGTAGTTTGAAGTAAAAAAGGTACATTTTCACTTATGAAGAATTTTAACCTAGGCAGTTGATTATTAAACTCCCCCAGGCTAACAAACTCAGAATCTACAGGATTTCATACAAACGGACTAAAGACTTAGAGTAACGAAAACAATATGGACAAAATAGGTCATGAAAAATATATCGTGTTTTGCATTTCTCACCTATCAGTAAACTGATGAGACAGTAATTTAGTGTGAAGAGAAAGATGAGAAAAAATGGTGATGTAATTAGTGGTGAAACTCTCATAAGTCAAGAGTGTAACAAGAGATATTGGAATATTACTCCTAAGTTTGAGATCACAACAACCCACTTATATAATGACTCTTAACTGTAAGATAGGGAGTGTAGTGGTTCACTTATTTGGGAAACTATATCAGCCTCAGTAAACTGAATTTCAACGAAACCTCAGCACAGATATCCATGCTGAAAATTCCATACTTATACCAAAAATACAGTGTGGAATCAAGCTGTAATCAAAAAATAAAAGGTTTGTTAGGCATTTATCAACTTATGTCATCTCCAGCGTAGACGTGATACCGGCTATCAATCAGAAGTGTTTACTAAGCAGCAGTTCTTTGTGTCCACCGTTATGACTGTGAAACATGATCATTGAAAGTGGAATTTATGAAAATGCTAGCTGTATTTGATCATAAGCGTCTGCCTTCTATCTACTGTGTTGTGGCATAATATGATGAACAATATTGAGGTTAGACACCGAGTGTTGGGTAAGTGGGAAAAGTCAGTTTGTAGGTTGTGAAGTTGAATTGATTAAGACGGCTGGCATAAATGTTGCGAATGACTAGCCGTCGCCTTCCTCGACAAGCGATGTTAGGATTAGTCTCGAAAAGATTTAGAAGTGGTCAAACCAAAACATGATATCAGTCCATGTAATCTTTGACAGTTGGTTTGAGTCTCATATGAAGGTGTGGGCTGCCTGGTTGGGTTTCTCGGAATTCTAAGAACCAAAAGCCGGAGATAATTGGTGGTACGGCTTAAAAGTATTCTTGATGGAGCAGATGCATGCACTCTTTGTAGTCCCCCCCTCGCCATATCCACTAAACCGTCGTGTTTTTAAGTGTTATTTTTCTCTTTCCTTCAAATAGTTATAGTTCCTTTTAATATCTTTTGTCACTTGTTTCTACCTTTATGTGCTACATGGAGTGTAGCGACTTGAACTGCTGCACTTCTGTGCAGAATGCTATGCTGAAATTCAGTCAGTCATCATATAAAGATAAAACCTGGGCATTGTGGTAGAGTATAACTCCATTATGGTTAAATTTTACTTTGATGAAGTCACACAGTGTTCTACAGTAATATTTACTGATAACTTTTCTAGCATAATTTATTGCTCATAATCACTTTTCGGTAGCTGAGTGACTATCCTGAACAACGGTACAACTCAGTATTCGATAGTTAAACATCATACTGGTTTTTACTGAAGTTTTTGGATTATAAATCATGGTTAAGAAAACACAAAATGACTTGGATTATAGAAATAGATGTATAAAATCGGATTTAGAATTCCGCTGCTGGTTTCAAAAGATATTAGGCACCAGAAGCAAGTGAGGTCTCATTAAGATTAGGTAGCTTAATAAGCATTGCTATAGCGATTAGCTTAAACAAGATACGAAGGAATATCTTTGCAGGTTTCTCTTCGGCTGCTAACAGAATATAAGCCAAATAAGTTATTATAAACGTACGGAGCATACTTCAAGATTATTTTAACTAAAAGGAGATTTAAAACTAACTCATTTCAACCGCATATCATTTGTCGACGACGTGCCTAGTAATTGCTCTTCTAACCAACTTCATACCTTTCAGACTTAGACTTCTGAGGATATGATCAAGTACACATAAATTGGTAAGTGCAGTCGACCTTGACTTGAGCTGAAGTACTTACTTACAATTAACTGAAATAAAGAGCATTTTGTGAGTAAAGTCAAATAATCTAACGGTATTATATGTCCCTTTCAGTACACCTTTAATTTATTCGTTGACTTTTACTGCGTCAGTGGCCCAATGGTTAGGATTCTCGCCGACCATGTTCATGGTCCGGGGTTCGGTCCCCCGCCAACACACACCAGATATCAATGGTTGGCCTGCAAAATTTGGGCTACCGATATCACATGCTGAGAATTCCATACTTTTTCCGAAAATACGGTGTGGAATCAAAAAAATTTGCACACAAAATAAGAGAAAGCTAACTTCTTTTCGACGGTTTTCATACTTCGTTATATACTTTTTCTCGAATAACCATTCTCCATAAGATTCTTTTCAATAATAACAGTAAACATAATAGTAATCTTCAACCTTTCTAAACATAATCCACTTGTTTCGCATACACTTACAACAGAGTATAATACTAGTGCATTACACCTTTTAATTTTTTTACTCCTTTCAAGATAGATCATGGTAGAAATTGTTACAAAAGATGAAATAAAGTACCAATAGAACTCGTAAATAATTGTCAAAGACCAGAACTTGTTACCACTGAGAAGAGCAATAGCCCCTTTAGCACCGTCAAAGAATAATATTTCACACAAGCACATGCTGTAGGATTTAGCGATCATCAAGTGTCCTATTACTTTGGACAAATAAGACCGAAGATATATATATCAATAATAATTGACAGACTCGATAAAATAAAACTTTAGAATTTACTTGGATTGAGAGAAATGAAATGAAGACAAAGTGAAATATGAATATACTCACCCATCATCCATAAAGTAGTTTTGCCAGGAGGACGGAAGACAGCTTTTTGAGTGAACAATTCGTTGGATTCCCTTGACAAATAGTTCATTATCTCCGACGAATATACTGCGCTCGCCAAGATTAATCTATTTAGAACATATCACACAGTACAAAACTAACGTAAGACACTGTCGCTAAGTTATAATCTGGATCGAAACCAATGACCTCCAGTGGGACAGAAGAGGGCGATTTAACCAATATTCTCTGAAAGATCAAATCAGCTCCTTCGGTTATAAGACCCGACAAACTGGAATTTGGTATTTCATTCTTAAATGATGACTTAATTTCTCCGTCCACTGATTCTGTAACACGTACATCATACACGTCTTCAACAAGTTTGACAGAGAAGGACTTCTCTATCACTTTTCCACTCATCTGCACTGCAAATAAAGACAAAACTGATTGTTTACCACGGTAGTTTCCACCTTTGTTTGTGAAACAGTTTCAAGAGAAGGCAATAAACGGGCTTTAAGAGTTGAAGTGCTATGTATTTCACCTAAAAGTGTAGTACTCGATGCTTTCACAGTAATGAGGTTTAGAGCGCCTTCTTCTTCTTTCTTAACACAGCACTAGAATATTAACCAGGTAAATTATTTATCAATACCTCATATGAACCAATTGGTTTATTATTATGAGCATAACACATGAGAGAATCGTCAAACACTGCAGACGTAAGCTTCTCATTGTCTTTCAGACGCATAAAATTATTGTAGCCAATAGTTACCCAATTCTTCCAAAAACATTCTGGCCTGCTGGTTTATACAAGTACTACTTTCCATAATTATATCACTACAGTTAAAAGATGCAGCGAAACATTGACGACCAATACCAATGCAGTGATTCAAAGAAACAACCGCTAATCATAAGAACAACTGTAGTAATCAAAGTATGTTAAACACTAGTTTTTCGGAACTTTGTATCACCTGGAATTCGCTTCTCACGTAAAAACCTTCAAAATATATGTTCAGAGGTATCAGACAATTATTTTATTTTTCATTCCACACTGTATTTTTGGTACAAGTATGGAATTTTCAGCATGGATATCGGTGGCCCAAATTTGCAGGCCGACCATAGATATCAGATGTGCGTTGGCAGGGGATCGAACCTCGGACCATGTGCATGGTCGGCGAGAGTCATATCCACAATATTAATTATTACATGGATAATATTCCTCAACAAGCAGAACGGCCTGTTTGAATGTGCAAGGGTGTAACTAAGGTGGAATTATTGTACCATAATCACGGCAAATTTATTTGGCGGTTTCGCATCGATGTATATAATTTGGGTCCTACAAAATTGTTCAATGCATTACGTTTGCATGGTTATTAGATTAGATGAACCAAAGGATATGAAAGCTAACGTTGTTAGAGATAGCTCTTGTCCGTCAACGTGCACACATACATACTGGCTCCAGCGGCATTCCGCGAATATTCCTTAAGTTTGTAATACAGCCATATTCCTTAGATAAGTATTTAAATCTGCTACCCTGAATATTCTTGACAATTTATTTTACTCAAATTCGCTCAAATAAGGTCACTTTTACAAATGAATGAGTCTTTTTTATTTGTGTTCTGTCGTCAGCACTAACAGGTTAGGTATAGTACTGATTTAATGGATCACTGGGCAAATTACATTTAGTATAGCCTTGTACAGTGTGGCTTATCAACAGCATTATCAGTAAATTACAGTCTCATCTGTTTGGGTACTCTGAATAATACCAAAGGAGGAACTTTCGCACGTCTGGCAGTTGGACAGAAACTTTTACTCACCCACTGTCTCCTGAATAACTCAAATTCATCGTGTGGTTATTGGGTTATTCGGTAAGTAGTTATAGCAGCATTTGTTATCATCAGTACATCATGAGTGAAGGATGGCAGTTTTTAGACATCAAAAATACGTTACATAGCCAGTAATGAAGTCGAAGCACTCCGTGCGCACGATAAAAAATCTGTGAAAACTGAGTTTTCGAGTAATTATTCTCCGGTGATCGTGTTGTGTCGGCTGCAGTAGGCATAATCATTATTAACTTCGCGAACAACACTAACAATCAGTCGTGTAGGAGAAAGCGCTTTCGAGAACATGCATAAAATCATTCCTATACCATTTAACAAGTTCAGTCAGGATTTTGGAACTACTGGTCGTTTGAAAATGAAGTTAGATAGATGGTTGTGGAAAAGTGCTGATCTCAGTGATTCAGTAACGAAATCTCAACTTCATACAACAAAGCTGTTTAATGTTATCACAGCTTTGAGGATAGACCTCAGTGCTGTATGAAGCTTAGTTTTCTTTAACAGAAAACACGTAATATAGCAGAAAATTATCAGTTTTGAACTTCTCTGTTTGAAAGCAAATGGATTTTGCGTGAAGCAGGAAGACGTCATCGAATAAATGGAAGTCAATCATCATTTAGTGTCATCCAGTAGATTGAGAGATACCCACAAATTATAAAAAGCTATGGTTCATCAGTGATTACTCATCTTGCCCTTCTGAATCATGTAACTGCTAATTGCCAGTGAATGACAGATCCCATCGCAACACCACCTCCTGTTAGATGCAACTTCTCTAGAGATGTGAGTTCCATTAATCTGTCTACTGAAGCTATACCAAAGTTTTTCACTGTTTGTCACTGATCTGCAATTTCGGAAATGAGCTCAGCTAGGACTACTGTGCTGGCTGACGAACCGTAATTCTACACCTTCACAACATTAAGATGTAGAAAATATGTTCTTCATCAATGAGGAACAGATTAAAATTATTTAACGAGCATTTACATAATATGGCGGTGCTGTCGTTCAATTTCCCATATTATCTTCCATCTTATTGTATCAGACTACTATCAGTTGGTGCATACTGTGTGCATCCATTACCAAAAAATAGTTGCTGGCTGCAAACCAATTTCTACGTCAAAGATTTACTCTCTAAGGCCACCGGCAGGGCCTTCTCGATCCTGTCTTTTTGCCGTACGCTTAAGTGACAACATTATGCTCCAAAAGATGGGTCGATTATAGAAGGGGACTAGGTACATAGTTTACACCCACCACAGCTCAGCTCATTGGCGGGAAGAATTTGACTCACTCAGTAGCTCAGTGATATATCTTTATTTCCGCAGCACTTCTGCCGCTGGTGAGGTGTCATTTTATTACGAAGTGGTCCAGTGTGTAATACTGGTTATACAAGCTTGCTCAAATCAAATTGATTTCGTTGTGCTCACTTGTTGATTGTGAGGTAAGCTTTCCTGGTTTTCAGTAAACTTCTTACTTATTTTACTTCGGTTATCTCCTACGGGAGGATGAGCCAGCTTCATGAACATCTCGAATCATCGCTGCCCAGGCGCGGCGATCTGATGCAAGGTTTTGCGACAGGGTTATCCAATTCTTGTTCCACAGACGGAGTCCGTAGACGGTTTGTAGCCCCAGGCACTCCATATCAGCCTTGACTGTACCAAGCCATGTCTTCAGCTGTCCACCCCTGCGACATCGCCAAGATGGAAATGGCGAGGGATTTAGAACTGATTTGACCAGATCGTCATCTGGTCGGCGCAGAACATGGCCAAACCACCGAAGGCGACGTTGTTGGACCAGTACTGGAATTTGGTTGATGTTGTAGCAACGACGACGCACTTCTTCGTTGGAGAGTTTGTCCTGCCAACGAACATGCAGAATGTACCTGAGGCACCAATGGTCTACTACCTCGAGTCTGCGTAAATCTTCCGCGCGAAGAGGCCAGGTTTCACAGCCATACAGGAGAACGGGTCGTATGGAGGCTTGGTAGACCCGAATTTTAGTCCTGAGACTGATTTCTCTCTTGCTCCATAGAACGCTCCTCAGCTGTAGAAACGCATTCCGGGCGTTGGAGATTCGCGCATTCACTTCGTTTTTCGCTTGACCGTTGGGGAGCATTATGGATCCCAGATATCTGAAGGATGGCACAATTTCAATAGGTGCTCCATTCAGGATAAGATTTCATCATTGCTGGTGGATGTGTTCGAAAACATTTTGGTTTTGGAAGTGTTAATTTTCAAACCGATAGTAGGCGCGAGGTGGTTTATCTGATCGAGCGCCTGTTGCATATCGGGGAAGTTTTCAGCTAATAACACGACGTCGTCGGCGAATTCGAGGTCGGTTATGTGAATATCGGGCGAAAGTTGGACGCCGTGGTGCTCGGTTAGGGCGTGCCGCAAAATCCAATCAACTGTGAAATTGAACAGGATGGGGGATGCTGGACAACCTTGCCGGACACCGCTGGTTACCTCAAAAGTGCGAGACTCTTCACCGTTCACTCGGACTCGAGCTTTGGTGTTGGAGTAGTATGACCTGAGCAGGTTGATTAGCTTGGTCGGAACTCCGTCGAGCTCCATTAGATACCAGAGTGCTCCTCGATCAACTGAGTCGAATGCCGCTCGGAAGTCGATGAAGCAAGCAACCGTCGGCTGTTGGAATTTGTCCCTGTGTTCCAAAATTCTTCGCAGTGTGAATAATTGATCAACACAGCCTCTTCCAGGTCGAAATCCGGCTTGATTTGGCCTTGTTCGCACGTGGCGTTCGGCCGCGAAGCGGTTCAGGAGAATGGAAACAAAAACCTTAGCAGCGATATCAATCAGACTTATGCCTCGGTAGTTCTCGCATAGTGACCTGTCTCCCTTTTTGTGGAACGGTAGCAGAACTGAGGTGCTCCAATCGGAAGGAATGGTTTCGGACTCCCAAATTGAGCAGAACAGCGAGTGCAGCGAATCGATTAGCGCTGGAGTGCAGGCCTTGTATATTTCTGGAGGTAGACCATCTTCGCCCGGAGCTTTTTTGTTTCTGAGTCTGTTAATTGTTTTAGCTATTTCGGTTGGAGTGGGTGGATCGCAGTCAACTACGTAGGGTGTTGGTAAGTGTCGTATCGGTCGATGAGACGGTTGACCAGCGTTGCGATTGAGTAGCTGCTTGAAATGTTCGGCCCATCGTTCCATCTTACCATTGGTGTCCGAAATAATTTCTCCTGATGCTGTGCGTAACACAGCATGACTGTTAAGGCGTTTGCCAGATGATAGGCGTATGAGGCGATAAAGTTTTCCGAAATCGCCTACATTTGATGCTGCTTCCATGTTAGTCGCCACATTAGACCAATAGCGATTTCTGTCATTCCTAGCAGACTGTGTAGCTTTGCGCCTGAGGGAGCGATAAACTGGAGACTTTGCTAGGCGAGCGTCTCTGGCTTGCGAGGATAGATGCATGGTGTGCTCTGAAATCCAGTCTTTCTGCTTCTTGGATGTGGTACCCAAATGCGACATTGAAGCTTTAGAGACTACTTCTTTGAAATGATTCCATCGTGTCTCAGGTGTATTAGAAGATGTGGATGTTGGTTCATCTGCGGCGCTTAGTTCGGCCTGGATTTGTTTGGACAAGGCTTGTCGCTTTGTCGAACATTGAAGCGGGCAACATTGATACGCTTCGGAGGTCGCGCCTTCTGGCGTGTTGTTAAACGAAGTTTGAATTTCGCCCTAACTAGAGTATGGTCTGATCCCCCTTTATTTCCGGCCTCTGCTCCACGATAGGATCGACAGTCTTCCACCGAGGAGATCCAGCGTGAGCGCACTAGGATGTAGTCGATCTGATGTGCAGTGCGACCGTCGTTCGAATACCAGGTGAGAAGATGTTTTCTAGGGTGTTGAAATCGAGTGTTGGTGATATATAATCGATTGTAATCAGAAAAAGCTAAAAGTCTATCACCATTACGGCAGCGCTGATCGAGACCGTGTTTGCCTAGTATATGTTTTGTCGCGTCGTCTGAAGGGCCAGTGCGGGCGTTCCAATCGCCGGCTACTATGAGAACGTCACGCTTTGGGATTTTGTTGATTGCCTCTTGAAGATTGTCAT